CTAACTGGTGCTTTTTAAATCAGCCTGGAGGAATTTTCTCATTGAAATAAGCTGTAGAGTTTGCTGGAGATAATCTTCTGGGGTTTCTTTAATCTCAGTATTAAGAAAGGCAATTTTAGGTTTGAGGCTTTCTTTTTCTAATAGCAGTTACTCAGTCATTCTCATTCCATGCTATTCACATGGGATTATTTGTAATAAATATTGTCATGGATGAATTAGTTTTATCAGTGTATAGAGAAATCACATGAGATTAATCCTCCTGGCTCTGCCTCTGGGGACCGTTAAGTCTGATCCGCAACACCACATGTTGCTCTGGCTGCTATTCATTTACTTTTCCTTCATGCTGACACTGATTGAATTTTTTTTTTTGGTTTAATGGGGTTTCAATTTGAAAGTCCATTAACTGACTAACCAAAGATGATCAATGGACAGATCCCAGTTGCCCATAAGCTAATGGATTTTTGACTTTCTAATAGCAGCAGAGTGATGTAATGTAATCAATACTTTTCTTTTTAAAGCTGTACCACCTCTAAAAGTTTGCTATGTGAGAGTACCAAGACACACTAAACATATTAACAGACATTGGACTAAAATGCTCTCTCATTTCTTTGCATTTTCACTGTCTACTGAACATACTAACATACAATAGCACCAGGCTTGTCCTAGTCACTTCATAATGAGCCTAAGAAGGGATCAGCCAGGTTTCCACGGTGCTGATTAACATGTGGTAATCACAGTTGAATCACAGCAAAAGCCTTAAGAAACCTGTGAACTTGGTAGGTTGGAAAATGACTTGGCACAGCTGTTTGGCTAGAAACTCTGCAAGCCTACTTCACAATAAGTGTCAACGTTAAAGGTCAAAAGGTTGGTCGAGAGGGTTATAGTTAGTTTATGCAGCCATCCAATTGTCCAAAAGGGGTCGGATACAGCAGCTTATCCCAGCTGCTATGGGCTAGTGCTTCACCCATGACAGGTCACCAGTCTTATCACGGGGCTATCACAGAGAGA